GAAATTTGAAACTGAAAAGTATTATGTCACCGTCATTGATGCCCCAGGACATCGCGACTTCATCAAGAACATGATTACCGGTACTTCACAGGTAAGGCTTGCTTTTTTACTAACTAGCTTGCCCATAACAGAAAAAGACTGTGTGTGGTATATCTAGGATACATGAGATCTGGTAGAACAGATTTTTGTTGGATTTGATCAACTTGCTCTAAACAAGAATGTAGGGTGTTGGCAAACAAATGATGGTGAGATTTCTGAGAAACAAAAGAAAATAGGACAACATTTTACATTCAAGTCTTGTTCCACTGTCTCCTTGGAATGTCAGAGCCTTTTGTGCTTTATGTTGTGCAAAGGAAGGGGTTGGATACAGTCTTGGCCTTAACCCTTTCACTTCCATGAGTGATCAAGACAGAATTTCTCCTTACGGTATCAACACAATATCAAGTGGACTAGTGATGAGAATAAAGAAAAACATCAGATGGGGGATTATTGGTTGATCTAGGACTAAATTCCCTGAACTAACATTATGAGAAGGGTATGGCTGACAGTGAAGAGAATAACTCATAAGATCTTGGGAGTGAAAAGGTTAACACATTAATTTTATTCAGAATTTTGCCATCAACTTCTCTTTAGTAAATAAAATTGAAATCATGTAAAGGTTAAGAAACCCTGTAATGGTCAAAATGCCCTCTCCCAATTGTATCAAGTTAGAATTAGTTCCCCTTCAACTCCTTCCCTTTTTCATTAGAGTTGATTAGAATAGTTCTTTTTTTTCATTTGATACTCATTTTGCTGTTCAACTTTCAAGGCTGATTGTGCTGTATTGGTTGTTGCTGCTGGTACTGGTGAGTTTGAAGCTGGTATCTCAAAGAATGGCCAGACCCGTGAGCATGCCCTTTTGTCGTACACTTTGGGAGTGAAGCAGCTTATTGTTGCTGTGAACAAGATGGACACCACTGAGCCCAAGTATCATGAGGGGCGTTTTAATGAAATTCAAAAGGAAGTCAGTGGCTATGTGAAGAAAGTTGGCTATAACCCCAAAGCCGTGGTATTTGTTCCCATTTCTGGTTTCCATGGTGATAACATGTTGGAACCAAGTGATAATGTATGTATTTTCTTACTGATCATTAATTCTTAAACCCTTTTACCCCTAGGATGACTAACATCTTATTTCTTCTTACAATATCACCCTTAAAGCAAACATTAACGTAATGAGAATGAAGGGGATGATCACAAGCTAAAGCTGTTCATTGTTTGATAAATTCTCCTTGTCAGAATCCTAAGAAATGTCAAGGGATAAGTATGGAGAATATGCATACTGATGTTAGGGAGTGAAGGGTTAAACTGCCTATTTTGGGTGAAAGTCGTAGATGGTTTCTTGTTAACACTGCAGGTTTGTTACTACTGTAACATTAAAAACTCAGTGATACTTTAAAGGAAGTCTGTAAGGATCTCAAATAGCATCTTCATTTG